CCACTGAGCCATATCCCCAGCCCTTTTTATTTTTTGAGATAGGGTCTCGCTAAATTGCTTAGGACCTCACTAAATTGCTGAGGCTGGCTTTGAACTTGTCATCTTTCTGTCTCAGCCTCCTAAATTGCTGGGATTACAGGCATGAGCCACCAAGCCTGGCTAGAGGATGATTTAACCAGAAATTAGAGACTAGTTTATGCCATATAGCAAGACCCCATCTCAAACAAAATTTTAATTAGTTGTAAAGGATCTAATTTGTTATGCATTACAAATATTGACATTTGAAAATAATTTTTTTTTTTTTTTGGTAAGGAAACTTTATTTAGCTTACAGTTTGGGAGGCTGAAAGGTCACATGGCATGGCATGGGCTTTGTGAGAGCCCTCTTGGCTGCATCAGGATTGAGTGGGCCCATTGGTTCAGCTTCTGGTAGTGTTATTCATGCTGACAGAATTCCAGGGTGGCACAAGGCATCATATGGGAAAAGAAGTATATCTGTGTGTATCTGTCTGCTCCACTCTTTTGAAGATATTCAGTGAAGGCTGTTTCCTCTTTTGGAGGTGGCCTGCTCCACATACCTCAGAGCTTTACTTCTATTTCACTGAATAAATCCTTTATGCTCTTTCTTTTTTTTAACTTTTTATTTTTTTAATATTTATTTTTTAGTTGTACTTGGACACAATACCTTTATTTTATTTATTTATAAATAAATAAATAATCGATCATAGGTGCTAAGGATCAAACCTAGGCCTGCATTTGCTAGGCAAGCACTCTACTGCTGACCCACAACTCCAGCCATATTTTTTATTTTTTGATACTGGTGATTGAATTCAGTGGATGCAGTCCTTTTTATTATTTTATTTTGAGACAGGGTCTTGCTAAATTGCTTAGGGCCTCATTAAGTTGCTGAGGCTGGCTTTGAATTTGTGATCCTCCTGCCTTAGCTCCCAAGCCTCTAGGATTACAGTCATGTGCCACCATACCCAGCTCCAGACTGGTCTTGAATTTGCATTCCTCTTGTTTCAGCCTCTCAAGTAGCTGGGATTACATGCTCAGGCCATTGTGCCCCTACACCATTCATTTTAAATGACAACGCCCACCCCCTGCACCCCCAATTTTGTGTTTTGGATTCTGGGGAATCAAACCAAGGGCTTTGACCATGCAAAACATTGCTGTTATCACTGGAGCTACACCCCCAGTCCACAAAAGAAAATTCTGGCTAGTCTTCAGAGTCATTCATTTTTCTGAACACCAATGCCAACACTTAGGAAATGGCATTTTGCCTGGCACAGTGGCACATGCCTGTAATTCCAGGGGCTCAGGAGGCTGAGACAGGAAGATCACAAGTTCAAAGCCAGTCTCAGCAATTTAGCAAGGCCGTAAGCAATTTAGTGAGACATTGTCTCAAAAAGGGCTAGGGAGGCTGGGGATGTGGCTCAAGCGGTAGCGCGCTCACCTGGCATGCGTGTGGCCCTGGTTCAATCCTCAGCACCATATACAAAATAAAGATGTTGTGTCTGCCAAAAAATAAATATTAAAACTCTCTCTTTTTAAAAAAATTTTTTTTTGAAAAATAAAAAAAAAGGGATGGGGATGTAGCTTAGTGGTAAATTGTCCCTAGGTTAAATCCCAGTACCAAAAAAAAAAAAAAAATATTGCATGATGAGTTGCGTACCTTTTTTTTTTTTTTTTCAAAATGGGAGATCTATGGGAAAAGGAGGAGGCAGGAACAGAGAACTAGTATTATACCACTGATCTTAGGCAGACTGATTTTATTTATTGTATTTATTTACTTTTTGCAGTACTGGGGATCAAACCCAGTATCTCACACATGCTAAGCAAGTGCAAATTATATGCAATGTTCTCATAGGCTACATGAAGTACTTTTATTTTTGATATGTGGGTCTTGCTATGTTGCCTAGTCTAGTCTGGAACTTGTGGGCTCAAGTGATCTCCCCATCTGGCTGCCCAAGTAGTTACATACACTCCCTGTTTAAAGAGACTTTTTTCATTTTTATATTTTTGCAGTTATGGGGTTGGAGCCCAGTGCCTCACACATACTAGGCAAGTGCTCTGTTAGCAAGGGACTTTATTTACTTATTGGTACTAAGGATTAAACCAGGGGTCTCATGCATACTGGGCAAGAGTTCTAACACTGAGGTACATGCCCTGCCCTTTTCACTTTTTTAAAAAAATATTTTTTAGTTGTAAATGAACACAATACCTTTATTTATTTATCTTTGTTTAAAAAATATTTTTTAGTTGTAGATGAACACAATATCTTTATTTTATTTTTTATGTTTTGCTGAGGTTTAAAACCAGTGCCTCATGCATGTGAGGCAAGCACTCTACCACTGAGCTACAACCTCAGCCCTTGTTTATCTTAATGTGGTGCTGAGGATTGAATCCAGGGCCTCACACATGCTAGGTGAGAGCTCTACCACTGAACCACAACCCCAGTCCCCCTTTTCACTTAAAAAGAAAAAAATTATTCACTTTTTGTGGTACTGGGGATGGAATGCAAGGTCTCACAGAAGCTGGGCAAGTGCTCTACAACTGAATCACATCCTCAAACGTTCTTTTTTTTTTTTTTTTTTGAGACAGTGTGCCCCCCAGGCCTTGTTCCTTCCCTGTGTATATGCTGTTGAAATTTAAGATTGCTCCCTTGAAACTTCCCAAGTCAAGTTTCTAGTAAAAGCCAGGTGTGGTGGTACATACCTATTATCCCAGGTACTCTGGAGGCTGAGGCAAGATCAAAGTTTGAGGCTAGATGAGCAACTTACAAAGATCCTGCTCAAAATAAAATGAAAAGGGGTGGGGATATAGCTCAGTGATAGAGTATTTGTCTAGCATGTGTGAGGATCTGGTCTCCATCTCCAGTACAACAACAACAAATAAGGGCTAGTGGATTTTGGCAATTAGGATTCCATAGTAAGCCATCCAAGGTTTTTGAGAAGGATGATGATACATTTTTTTAAAATTATTCTGACAATTTATGAAATATGACTATAATCAGAAAACACTGTCAATATTAGTCTTAAAATTAGATTTTGAGATCATGGATGTAATCATGTATATGATTTTCCCCCCCAACACTGGGAATTAAATCCAGGTCTCTTGCATACTAGACAAGCACTCAAGCACTGAGCTGTAGCCCCAGCCCCTGTTCAACAATGACATTTGGGGTAGGGGTGGGGTGCTGGGATTGAACCCAGGACCTAGCAAATGGTAAGCACAAGTTATATCATTAAGTCACACTGCTAGCCTGACTTTTCCTAAAATCCCTAACTGGCCTGTTTTATTGGAAGCATTTAGCAACCCTTTCCAGGCACTTCAGTCATTACTCCCTATTAATATACCTCTTAGCTGCTGTCAGTTGAATATTTATATTTAGCACCTATAAGTCTGATCTTCCCTGCTTCTGTGTATGCTCAGGCTGTTCTCTGCCATTTATAAAACTGCCTGTCTGGATTTCACCTGAGAAACTTCAGTGCTCTCTTTAGCCTTCTTTTTTGCAAATTGACAAATATTCACAATCTGTAGTTACATTCTCCTTATTGCCCCCACTTTGGGAGTAGCCAAGAAATTCAACAAGTCTTTAAAATGTCAAAATGTGGAGCTGGGGTTAGCTCAGTGATAGAGCACTTGCCTCATACATGTGAGACAGTGGGTGTGGGAGGCACTGGGTTCCATCCTCAGCACCACATATAAGTAAATATATTTTTTAAAAAAGGAAAAAGAAACATGCAGAAACAATTTTTTGTTAAATATATTTATTTTCTAGTTATAGGTGGACACAATATATTTATTTTATTTTTACGTGGTGCTGAGGATCGAACCCAGTGCTTTAACGCATGCTAGGCGAGCGCTCTACCTCTGAGCCTCAACTCCAGCCACAGAAACAATTTTTTAAAAATGTGGTAGTCTGCAACATGAACGGTGTACTCCAAGAAATAAACTATTTGACCGGTATCTTTATATCCGTGTGGATTTTTAAAAAATCATTTTCATTCTTCTTACCCTAACCACTAAGTTCTTAACAAAACATACCGTTCGAAGTAAATATTTACAGTCTACAACACAAATCTTTATACCTGCAAGCATGAGAAAGATCTTTTCAGTCTTTTTATGGGTAAAAATAAAACCCAAAGGTATTATTCTGTGTATAACCTTCTCTTAGTTCTCAAACACTAGGAGTCTTCTGTTAGCAGTGGGTTTAAGAGCTGAAACTGATCACTTTTACACCGTTTGTTCACTTCCTCTGCCTCATTCCTTGCCCGAGACAGGGGCAAAGGACAGGTAGTCAGTAAATGATCAGGTCAGAAAGATGAGGGCTTATTTCGAGGACCCGATCCTCCCTAGATACACATCACCCCTATGTCTAGCCCAATACATTCGTTAAAACTGAAAGATCTGGAGAAGAAAGCAATGGCTTGAGCCAGATGCCTGAAACATTCTACTGGTAGCTTCAGGTATGCTAAGTAGTTCCTTTAAAGGTCACAACAGCCCAGCAAAATGTTATCGCAGTCTTATGTTCAGGCTTAAACATTAGACCTCAGGTCATACACTACATCCCTGCAAAGGACAGAAACATCTTTTATGGGAATCACATGGGGAAGTAGAGTCACTGATAATCTTTGAAGAATCTTAAAACAGCGAACTCGGCGAAGACCTCCGACACTTCCCCAGAGCTAGACACTAATTGAAAAGCCCATTGCAGTGATGCAAAACCGTTTCCTGCCCGACTCTCGCGAGAAGAAACTAGGTCCCCAGACGAAACGCTAAAACATACAGATTGGGCCTAGAACGTCCTTCCCCATCGTCCCCAAATCCTCCCGGGAAATCTAACAGTCGGGCAAAGGAGGCCACCTCGATGAGTCCAGCGCGCAGAGAACGCGCGGAACCAGGAAGAGGAATAGCTAGCCCACCCAAGTGTTTCTGATTGGCTGCCGGCTTAGCTTGGAACACTGGGGCGTATGACGTCACATCCGCCGAGCCCGCCATCTTGTTCCCAGGGGCAGTTGGCGGAAGAGATCGCGCTCCCTGGCCACCGGCTTGCCTTCTTCCTTGAGTTCTCGCAGCCCGCATCTCGGTGTCTGCTCTCCGCCCGGGGTCCATTTTCGGGGTCAGGGTTGCCCTCTCTCGCCTTGCTGGGGCACAGCGAGGCGGCCCCCTCTTCTGACGGCATTCCATGGAGTAGGGTCCCGGACCGTTGTCCCGAAGAGCGAGATCGAGCTTCGCCCCCTCCCCCCTCCCTTCTCCCTCCCTCCTTCCTTCCGTCGCAACATGGCTAACAACAGCCCCGCGCTGACAGGCAACTCGCAGCCGCAGCACCAGGCAGCCGCGGCCGCGGCCCAGCAGCAGCAGCAGCAGCAGTGCGGCGGCGGCGGCGGCGCCACGAAGCCGGCGGTCTCGGGCAAGCAGGGCAATGTGCTGCCGCTGTGGGGCAACGAGAAGACCATGAACCTCAACCCCATGATCCTGACCAACATCTTGTCGTCGCCTTACTTCAAAGTGCAGCTCTACGAGCTCAAGACCTACCACGAGGTGGTGGACGAGATCTACTTTAAGGTACGAAGCCTCTAGGCCTTGGGCTTGGGGGTAAGTTCAGAAGAGGTATGGAGGAAACCGGCGGAGGCGGCCCCCGAGATCTGAGGATTTGTGGGTGGGGGAAGGTCGGGCGGAGGGGGAGCTGTCGCCTGTAGCCTGTCAGGGAGGGGTCGGGCTGGGGCCGCCCTCTCGTTTCCTTTTCAGATTTTAGAGCCAGGAGAGCCCGCCACTTTCGATATTTCTCTTCCCCCCAACCTCCTGCCTACCCCTGGGGGATGTTGGGCAAGAGGGATAGGGGAAAGGAGAAATGAGTAACAAAAGTCTCTCCAGTTCACAGCTTTAAATTTGTTCCTTTTGACATGGATCTATTAGGCGCCAACTTGGTGCTTCTCCCGCTCACCCGGGCCAGGGCATGTAGTGACTTCAATATGGGCCTCGTGTTGTTGGTACTGTCCAATCCAGACAGGGACATGGTCAGTGCGTGTGTCGGTTGGGGTGGGAGGGATGGGGGTGGAGAGGTGCCAGTGCAAGATGTGTACAGAAGGCCTGGAAATTTTCCCAGCAGGAAGTCAGGAGTAAGCGGTCTCAGCCACCTGTGCATTGGGCATATTTAGAATTATCTGGGCCCTGGGCTTCTGCGGCAGGGTCGGTGCTGGCTTGGCTGTGCTGGGGAGCTCACCTGGCGCCTCCTCACTGCACTCTTGTCTCAGTTCTTGTTTCGTTAGCAGGATTGACTCAGTCTTGCAGCGAGGCTCGGAGCAGCCCAGGGTCGCAGGTAGAGGTATGCACTATTAATCATGCTCAATCGCCATAAATGCATTTCCCTGGTTAAATGAAAAGCTAATTAGACTTTTTATTTTTTTTTTGGGCCATTGGTTTTGGTCTTCATCAGTAGATAGACTTTTTCCACTTCCCTGCAAATTATGTAGTATTAAAAATACCTTCCAGGCCTCCAAACATGGATTTGTATTTTAAAGAGAATTAATAATAGCCTCAACAGTTTTTACAAACGTTTTAGCTAGAGCATTTACAATCTTTTGTCTGTAAAGTTTGAGACAGATCACGTCTTTTCTGTCATCCGAACATGTGTGGAGATGTTAACAAAAGGACATTTCTCTATTTGTTTTGCTGCCTTTCCCCCCAATAATTGTTTAGATTATTTCAAGATTTTGAGATATTAGTTGCTTTTTTATAGAAAACATTTTGAGGAATACAGTTCAACCCTGGGCATGTAGAGTACAGAAGTAAATTTAATATTCTCTTACAAGAGTCTTGAGAAGGTGTAATTGTTATACTGTGAACTAGCTTTTTTTTAAAAAAAAAAAAACTAGCTTTTTAAAGGTAAGACCTTTTCAACATGGATGCAATATGTCGAATAATATTTAACATACTATTCTATTCAGTAAACTTTGAAAAGCTGTAAATTGGATTTCTGCTCCTTTTGTGGCAGTTTCTGTTTTAAAATCTAGTTTATGTAGTAGGGGGAAAACTTTCATACGTTGTGTTTTGAAGCAATTAAAGATCTACCAGGAATTATTTTTAAGTTTAAAACTAAAGACCCAGATTTTGTCATTAATATGGTTGTATCAAATAATCATTGAAATATGTAGACCTCTAATTTTTGTACTTATTTTTTATTTATTTATTTTTGGTACCAGGGATTGAACCACTTAGCCACATCCTCAGCCCTTTTATTTTTTTTATTTTGAAGTACTTTAATTTTGTTTTGTTTCTATCCCTTGACTAGTCTTTGAGGAATTGAAACATTAACACAGCAAGCTGGGGAAAAGAAATAGTTAAGTACTCCAGGAGTTGAGCAAAACAGTGTAGTACTTGAGTACCACTAAAAAGCAGTATAAAATAATACCATGTGTGGGTGGAAATACACTTTCAGAAAGATAATAGAATGAAAGAACAGAATTTTTTTTTTTTTTAAACAACAAAATGAGATCTTTCCAAAAGACTTCTTGGCTTCTATTTTATAGTTAAAATTCTTTTTATTGCTATTTTAGATAAAGCTATTTTTGTAGGGTGGTCCTTTAGCAAAAAGAATACTGTATCATGTTTGATTTTACTTAGTGTATATTAATGGCTATTCACACTCCATTTCTGATACAGTTTATATTCTTGGGGGGAAAATTAGATTGGTTCACATAATTAGGCTGAAAATGAATTGTAAGTGACTGAAAAATCTCTGTAAAGTGACTTTTGTGGTTTTATCTTTAATCAGGAATAAACTTGATTCTTGTGGAAAAAATGTGCAAATAAAAGTTCTGTTATTTTGCATTTTATTTTATCATGTAAATTTTTTAAAATCATAAAGTAGAAATATTGAGGGCATTTTTTTCAAACTTCATTTTAAAATGAGTTTTTTTTTTATTTTAAGCAATTTATAATTAAAAGGCTGAATAGTATCAAATATATTGTGCAAATTGATGAAGACTGTAGACATTTCCTGACTCCCACATATGTAGAAATTAGCTGTGCATAAAGCTAGTTTAATGGGATTTCTGCTCTGCCAACACATTAAGGTTTTATTAAATCCTGGTAGTTTTATTGGTATTCTTTAACTGTCTAAGCAGTTTTTCCAAAGGTAATTTACACACTTAATGTGAGTAAACAGTATTTTTGGAAGAGTTGCTCTGTTATGGACTTGGGCTTAATCAGAATTTTAAAAAATTCAGAGTATGAATGTTTGTTGTCTTCCTCTTTTCTATTTTCAGGTCACGCATGTTGAACCTTGGGAAAAAGGAAGCAGGAAAACAGCTGGCCAGACCGGGATGTGCGGAGGGGTAAGTAGAAGTACGTGCATTTTTTCAGTTTTTCTGTGTCTGATAATTAAGTTTATTAGAAAACTAAAGTCTGTCACATTCAAGTGACAATTTGTTGGTGGATCTTAGAATTTGTAAAAAATGTAAACTCAAGGGTCCAGTGAATTGGGTTACAAAAAGTGTTACTGTTAATACTTCATTCTTATTCTGGATTATGTCTTGGTTATTAATCCTAACATGACTAGTCAGTGGATGCTAACTGAGCATCTGTTAATTATTATACTTTTTTCTTAACTGTTTCTCCTAAAGGTTCGAGGTGTTGGAACAGGAGGAATTGTTTCTACAGCTTTTTGCCTGTTATACAAATTATTTACTCTGAAATTAACTCGCAAACAAGTGATGGGTCTTATAACACACACAGATTCTCCATATATCAGAGCCCTTGGATTTATGTATATAAGGTGAGCATATATTTATCTGTATTTTTAATAAATATCTCGTTGTAATTCACATAATTTTTTTTGTTGTTGTTATTGTTGTTTTTGTACTGGGGATTGAACCCAGAGGTGCTTTATCACTGATGTATCCCTATCCTTTTTATTTTTCATTTTGAGATGGGTTTTGCTTAGTTGCCTAGGAACTTGCTCAGTTGCTGAGGCTGGCCTTGATTACAGTTCTCCTGCCTTAACCTCCTGAATCATTGGGATTACAGGCATGCACCACCTTGTCTGGCTCACATAAGCTTAATAAATCTTCCTTGCAATTCTAGGTATACGCAGCCCCCTACAGATCTTTGGGACTGGTTTGAATCCTTCCTTGATGATGAAGAGGTATGTCAGCAAGGGTAATAATTAATTTTTTCTAATTACTTTTATTTTTAATATCTTTCCATTGGAGATTTAATGTCTTCAAGAATTTTCTGTAGTTATTTCAGTCATACTTTCAGAATTAAAGTCCTTTCACTAGGACTTGGTGGCTTTTACATATCTTATGTTAAATTTAGTATGTTTTGTTTTTAAATTACTTAAATGTTTTTATAACTATTAGAAAATTTCTCTTCCTAATTAGTTTCTGTATATTGTATTGGTCCTAACTTGTACAGTTGATAGTGACTTTGAGGTGGGCTGTGGTCCAGATTGAGGTGATAAAAGACATGTAACAGAAAATTAAATGTATCCTTTTTTTCTTGTGGAACTTTTAGTTCTTCACTCTAACCTCTAAATACAAATATTCCCACTTGCATAGAAATGCAAAATTGTAGAGCTAGGCTTGACTTAAATAGGCTGAGAGTTTGGATGGTTGGTTGAAGGTGACAAAACAAGAACTTTTAATTCTGAATTTCTCATTTTTTGAGACGGGTCTTGCTGTATTTCCCAGGCTGGCCTCATACTCTCCATTCTCCTGCATCAGCATCTCAGTAGCTGAGATTATAGGCATTTGCCACCACCTTGCCCTGCTAAATCTAGTTTTCTGGCTCCTGGTACAAGACAATGCTATTCTAGATGTTTTTAAAATTCTAAATCCAGTTTGCCATCTTGAGTTTGTTAACATGTTTAGAAATTACTTTAGGAAACTTGACTAAGTTATACTAATTTGCTTACATATTAAAGTCCAGGATATCAAAATGTACCCATGTATTATGCCATGTATCTCTTCTCCCCATTACTTTGTATTTTAAGGTTCATAAAGTAGACTCTGATATAGCAGTAGTCATATTTTAAAAGTTCAAAGAATTTGTTGAATTAAAAGATGGTTCCAATGGAAATATTTTTGTTTGCCATTATATTCACATCAAAAAAATGACACATTTAGACATAGAGGATTTAGTCTTTCTCTACCTTTTTTTTTTTAACCTGTTTACTGAACTGCTTGATAATTGGAAGACACAAAAATTATTTTAGGTGATAATCACAACCTTTTAAAGATTTTTTTTCCTCTTTATAAAAGCTTTTTTTTTTTTTGGTTGTAGATGGACACAATACTTATTATTGTTATTATCATTATTATTTATGTGGTGCTGAGAATCGAACCCAGTGACCCATATGTGCAAGGCAAGAGTTCTACCACTGAGCCACAACCTCGGCCCAATAAAAGCTTTTTAAGACCAAAATGCTTCTCCCTTTTGACTATAAAAAAGCATGTCCTTCTTTTTAATTGTATTAGGTTTGTTTTTTAATGGTTCTATTTAATCTGTTTTTTATTGTGCCTACAAACCTGAGGTCCTCTGTTTAAGCTAACTTATGTTTTCTTCCTTAGATATCTGCAGCGATTATATTTGGAAATACTGTATATCTGAACACTTAAATGTGTGTGAGTGCAAGCAGTTTTACCTTTAGCTCTTGTTTTCCTGTTTAGATAACAAATCTCACTTTCCTTGTGTGCTTGCACTATAGGTTTGGGACTGACAATAGCTGACTAACATGTCCTGAGCTGTGAGAGGGCATAGCAAGAAGGCCTTCATGCGGTAATGACCCTTTTCAGAGACAATGGTCATCATGGATTATGCGTTTCCAATTATTTGTTCATTTATTTATTTTCTACATAACTAAATTAGAAACCTCACTGCTTCATGGCAGTTGGTTTGCTATTGCTTCCAGTTTTATTAGGGCTTCATTTTTATATTACAGCTGTTAAAAAGATAACCTTTAGACAGAAATTGTGTGAAATAGTTCATATGTAGCTAGGTTACAGTGCTAGGTATGATGTGTGCAAATGTATCCACAGAAATATGTACTTAGTAGGTATGTGGAATGTAAATTAAGTCCTTTGTTCCACATAGTTTAGTAGTATAAGGTGCTTTTTCATATTATTACCTGAGTGAGATCAGTTCCCTTTATGCCCGTGAGGCTGCAGGATTTGTTCTCACCTGCATGTATACACTAAGCCCAAATATTTTGCAGTGTGTCATTCATTACCAGGTTAGGATACAAAATTGAAAGTTTTCTGTTAGAATTTTTTTGTATTTGATTCCAAAGATGGTAATGTGTTTTTTTAGTATTCATGTTTGTGTTGAAATGCCTTTTTTTTCTTTTTGCTTTTTTATTTTTTATTTTTTGACCATTAGGGTATCTTTTGTGTTTCATAGGACCTAGATGTGAAGGCTGGTGGAGGCTGTGTGATGACCATTGGAGAAATGCTGCGGTCTTTTCTCACAAAACTGGAGTGGTTTTCTACCCTGTTTCCAAGAATTCCAGTTCCAGTTCAGAAGAATATTGATCAACAGATTAAAACGCGACCTAGAAAAATCAAGAAAGATGGAAAGGAAGGTGCTGAGGAGATAGACAGACATGTTGAACGCAGACGTTCAAGGTAGACGTAACAAATTGTAAATTTATTCCTTTTTATTAGGGATTGAATCCAGGGATGCTCTACTACTAAGCTACATCCCCAGCTTTTGGTATTTTTTTATTTTTAAGTTGCCACGGCTGGCTTGAACTTTTAGTCTTCCTGCCTTAGCTTCCCAAGAAGCTGGGATTGTTGTAGACGTATATCACTACACCCAGAGTTTTGTTTTGTTTTTACGCAGTCTTGGGAATTAAACCTAGGATCTTGACTATGCTAGACAGTGCTGTCCCACTGAATTACATTCTCAGTCCTTATAATACGTTTTATTCATTGGAATTTCCTTCTTCCTTCTCCATTTCTTAGATCTCCAAGGAGATCACTGAGTCCACGGAGGTCCCCAAGAAGATCAAGAAGTAGAAGTCATCATCGTGAGGGCCATGGGTCTTCTAGTTTTGACAGAGAATTAGAAAGAGAAAAAGAGCGCCAACGACTAGAGCGTGAAGCCAAAGAAAGAGAGAAAGAAAGGCGAAGATCCCGAAGTATTGATCGGGGGTTAGATCGAAGGCGTAGTAGTAGGAGTAGGGAAAGACACAGAAGTCGCAGTCGAAGTCGTGATAGAAAAGGGGATAGAAGGGACAGGGATCGGGAAAGAGAGAAAGAAAATGAGAGGGGTAGAAGACGAGATCGAGACTATGATAAGGAAAGAGGGAATGACAGAGAAAAGGAGAGGGAAAGATCAAGAGAACAGTCCAAGGAACAGAGAAGTAGGGGTGAGGTAGAAGAGAAGAAACATAAAGAAGACAAAGATGATAGGCGGCATAGAGATGACAAAAAAGATTCCAAGAAAGAGAAAAAACATAGTAGAAGTAGAAGCAGAGAAAGGAAACATAGAAGTAGAAGTAGAAGTAGAAATGCAGGGAAACGAAGTAGAAGCAGAAGCAAAGAGAAATCAAGTAAACATAAAAATGAAAGTAAAGAAAAATCAAACAAACGAAGTAGAAGTGGCAGTCAAGGAAGAACTGAAAGTGTTGAAAAATCAAAAAAACGGGAACATAGCCCCAGCAAAGAAAAACCTAGAAAACGTAGCAGAAGCAAAGAACGTTCTCACAAACGGGATCATGGCGATAGTAAGGACCAGTCAGAAAAACATGATCATCAGAGGAGCCAAAGTGTAGAACAAGAGAGCCAAGAAAAACAACATAAAAACAAAGAGGAGACTGTGTGAAAAATTTTGTAAAAGTGGATCACATTGAATCCTATAAATGTTTGATTAAATCTGCTTTTTTTTCCCCCCCGAGTTCAGATTGTGCAGTAGTTATGCACTCTTCAAGCTCCCTGTAGGCTGCATTTTCATTTCTTCTTTTGTGTAGGGAAGTGCCTTTGTAATCCCATTTATTGCATTGATGTTTTCACCCAGTTGTTGAGTTTGATACATGATGCACAAGATTGTTCTTGCATTTTTATTGTTTGTTTTTAAAATGTACAGTCTGTACATATGTCCTAAAAATGTTTTAATTCCTTTGGCATGGTTGCCATGTTGGTTAAATTTGTATAAGGCAATAAACTGCCACTAATTCTATTTTTGTTTTGTAGGTGTGGGATTATGGTTTGTGTACTGAAGTTAGCATGGCTGTGCTTTTCGTAATAGGATGCTAAAGACTTTGGGAATGGATCTTGGATATCTTATAGGAGAATTGTGTGCTTTCAATGTACATGAAGGCAGCAGTTGTAGGATTAACATTCTTGTCCACTGTACATTATCTTGGAAGACTTGTTAATATGTTATACTTAATTATTCTCCACAGTTAACTTTAGAGAGAATTTATGAGAGGTTAGTTTCTGATGCAGAGGTTTAAATTAGGCTGTGATTTGATCAAAAGTCCTTTTAGCATTCTACCTCAAAGGGACACTGTTAGTATGCCTAAAATTTCTTCACTTAGTTTTCCTTTTTTATTTGGGGGAAAAAAAAAACAACATGACATGTAATCTTTTTTCCTTGAATTCTTTCTCAGATTTTTAAAGTACTATATTAAAGAAAAAAATAATGTCTAAAGCCTAGCATTCTTGCAGCAACCCTATACTAACTTGTAATTGGGAGAGGGTGGGGCAGATGAGTAGAGAAACAGATTCAAGCTCAAGCTTCCAAAGCATTTTTATAAATGGAAAAATACTTAAGTTATGAAACAGCTTGATATAGTGTCCTTTTTTAAAAATTTAAAACTTTTTTATCAATAATGAAGATTGCTATTTGAGTTTTTAAACAATCTAGAAGGGAGAAGTATTAAAAGTAATGCTGTGCTGCATTATTTAAGACTATCAGCAAATTATTTGATAGATTGTTCTTATGACTTGTATTCTGATTACAAAGAACATCACGAGTGGAATAAATACTGGATTAAATCCTTTATCCTGGGTGTTGGCTTTTCCCCCATTTGTTAACATTTTTTAAAGGTATTTTTGTTGTGGAAATTGATAAAATGTCAATAGAGTTACACTTTGTGCAGAGAGAGATCTTAGTGCCCAGACAACAAGTGGATTTTAAAGAAACTCAGGGACATGTGATAGTTATCCTCATAGTAACGGCAGTTCCCTTTCAGTGGATGTTATGTGTCACTGGGATGATCTTTTGATTGATTAATTTGTTCCACATAAAGTGTTTATTGAAATAATTTCATTTGGATTTTAAGTATCACTTTAAAATATGAACTTAAAGGACATTTTTATAAGACAGCCCATCTACTTCTTTTTAGAACAGAAAATAGAGGCCCAAAGTGATAGGCTTCATCAGTGCCAGGACTAAGAGTATTCCTGACAAGTCTAGTGATCTTTCTGTACACATACCAACATTTTTTATAACCCACTGGTTATATTGGCTAACTGAAGGGTGCTCAGAGCCACCTTGTGATAGTGTTAAGTTGAACGAACAAGTCCGCTTGGAAGAGCCTTCCCTAGCCAGGCATGGTAGTGTTCATATACTTTGGAAGCAGAGGTCGGAGGATCTCGAGTTCAAGGCCGGTGTTGGCAATTATAGGGAAACCCTATCAAAAATGACTGGGGATGTAACTTCGAGAGCACCAATGGGTTCAGTCCCCAGTATTGTGAAACAGAAAAGATGTTCCATATGTGGGTTTGTGCCTAATTTAAGAAAACTAAATGAAGGAATTAGCTATAAAAATCCTGTTTGGGGTCGGGGGTTGGTACTGGAGACTGAACCCAGAGGCATTCTACCTCTGGATCTACATCCCCAGTCAGTTTTGGAGACAAAGAGTTTCACCAAGTTGTGATCCTCCTGAGTAGCTGGGAATATAGGTGTGTGCCACCACTTCCAGCTTTCCCCTTTCCCCCAAGAGTATCAAACATACTAGTATAGATAATCTAGAAATTAGAAAAACCTACTTTTGAGTAATGAAAGCCATTAGGGTTACCTTAAATTGAAAGTTGGTTTTCTAGTATACCTAAATTCCAGTGCTATTCCTTTGGATATAATTTCACTTGAAGTGTTCAGTGGTATATTTTAAGTAAGTAAAACGTGAAAAGTATTTCAAATGAAGATGAAAGTACTACCATAACCTGCATTTTTATTTTGATTTTTAATGTAATTTTGCTTTTGAGGAACATTTTGGTACGTGTAAGATCATCTAAGTACTATTAATGCCAAGCATATGCGTGTTTTGTTTGGAGAGTGGCTTCCTAAGACTGTGAGAGATCTCCATCATTTCTTGCAACATGAGATCAAGTTTGAAAAGATTTTAAAGCTTAGTATAACTAGAAGCCTCCATCCAGTTTTTGTATACACCTGAAATGATTTTACCTTTCCATGTATTAATCTTGGCATCTGTTTTTTAGTGTTCCATTTGCAATTAAGCCCTATACATGGGTTAGAATATTATCAATCAAAATTTTAATATAAAGTGTCCATTTTAATGCCATTTAATTTATAACCATTTGAGTCTGGTTTAGTTTTAGTTTGTTGTAAGGCAATGATTGTGTGTGTGTGTGGGGGGGGGGTTGGGATCAAACTCAGGACCTTGCTGGGCCAGTACTTTCCAACTGAGCTGTATCTCAGCTCCAATTACAGGACCTCTTAATTGGAGCTGATTTTATGGGGAAGGAAATGCTTCCTGAAAGTCTCTGCAATTTCTCCTCCTGGTATTCCATCTTTAAAAATTCCACAGAGCTTTGCAAATACTTCCAAAATGACATTTTTCACTTTAGGATCATTGTCTATCAACATTTGTTATAGTTGGGAACATGACAGCATGAATATAATCAACTGAAAATATTAGCATTGTAGCTAACTTAAAATCCATTTCATTCCTCGGCATCTAGTCACATTGTGGGTCTGGGGTTGTTACTAGGGATTGAATTCGCGTGTCTCACAGTTAAGGCAAATTCTCTTCTATTGAACCACATACCCAGCTTTTTATTTTCTGGGATGGTCTTCCTAAATTGCCCAGACTAGCCTTGAATTTGTAATGCTCCTGCCTCAGCTTCATAAGTACTGAGAATATAGCCATGCACCACCACTCCTAGCAAGAGAAAATCTCCATTAAGTAATATTTACTGTTAAGTAATAATTAAGTTCACAGGTAAAATGTATTTAGATGTATAGGGGAGTGCTATTTCAGCCTATTGCAAAAGTGAGTTGAAAGCATTTTATGTGTCTTAGAAGCTGTGAGATTTTGTCACAAGGATTGAGACACACACATATATACATACATGTATGTATATATTGTAAGGTAATCCTCACATAAACTTCCCTGATCCATAGTTGCCTTTAAATTGTACCAATCTTCAAGTTGATTTTCCATGGTTTGTGTTCTGGCCATCTCCCCCCCCCCGCCCCGACCCCCAACTCTTTCTTTTTAAGTACTGACAATTGAACCCAGGGGTACTTCACCACTGAGCTATATCACCAGCCCTTTATTTTTTGAGACTGTCTTGCTAAGTTGCTTAGGGCCTTGCTAAATTGCTGAGGCTGGCTTTGAACTTGCAATAGCTCTTTCTGCCTCAGTTTCCTGAGCCACTGGGATTACAGGCATTTGCAACTGCATTTAACCTGGCTGACCATATGAGTGCCACCTCATTAGGCTGGATGGTGACCTCTGATTTAGTCGAATAAAGGGATCAACCAAAAAAGTTTGCTGAGAATTATATAAGAGAATTAGTCTGTTCCCTCCAGTTTTTTTTAATTCAACATTTATTATTTATTTTTAAATATTTACTTTTTAGTTTTTTTTTTAAGGTGGATACAATATTTTATTTTTATGTGGTGCTGAGGAGTGAACCCAGTGCCTCACGCATGCCAGGCAAGCATGCTACCACTTGAGCCACATCCCTAACCCCTATGTATTTATTGAGATGCCAAGGATCAAACCCAGTAGCTCACCTATGCTAGGGAAGCGCTTTATCATTGAGCTTCATTCTAAAGCCGAATTATTTATTTCTTGGGTCATTGGAATTAGTCATTTCTACCCCCCACTCCCCCCACACACACAAATGGCATCAGCCCTGACCCCTAATATCTGAAATATAACTAAATGAAAACAATGTTTCAAGTCACCAGTATCCTGAATTTTCAACTACCAATAGAAGATATTTCTGAAGTGCTTGACTTATCCAATCAGTCCAGATAATACTGGTTTGGTGAACTTATTTTTTTCTGAAGTATTCCATATCTGATCCAAGTCCTGGGAATGGAGTTATGCTACAGCTTATTCAGGAACAGTCAGTTATTGGTTTGTGCACAAGTGTTATACTGTTGTATTTTTTATTTTCCTCAGTACTAGGGATTGAACCAACGGCCTCACATACTAAGCAAGCACTCTACCACTGAACTATCAATTTTTATTGGCTTCACCCAAAAAATTTATATCTACTCTTCATGACCCTGCTTTGTGATTCTGGGGCTGAGCCTTTTAAATATTTCTCCTTTGCTAGCTGGCATAATGTTAGGCTTGTTGGCAGAGGATGCTTGAGGGATGCTGCAAAAGGAAGGAGCTCTGGTTCCATGGTTTTATTGCATCTGCATTGTGTAGCGACCAGTATGTCATCCAGTGGTACTCATCCAACAAATTTCAGTGGCATTTCATTGAAGGAAGCAAGGGGAGTTCCTAGCAAATCTACAGGCTGTCCTGCTGGTGCTCCAGTGAATCTAAAGCAGCATTCCAATGAGAAGTGTCGTGTCTAGTTTTATTGACATTCCTGTATCTCCAGTCCCAGCCTTCAGTATCTCAGCAAATGGAAGGCCACAGCTGCACTCTCTCCAGAATTTTCTTTACTCTTAGTAATAAATCTGTTACTGATTAAGAATTCATTATGTCAAATGTCCCTTGTTGGAATTACTGTATTTTCTGAATACTGATCGAACCCTAAAATATATTATTAAGATGATTGGTATTAAGATGATACCAATAATATGAGTACCACCTCATGAGGTTGGATGGTGACCCCTGATTTAGTCTAATATAAAGGGATCAACCAAGAAAGTTTGCTGAGAATTATATAAGAGAATCAGTCTGTTCCCTCCAGTTTTTTTAAATTGATTAATTAGTTAATTAATTTAATGAGGTGCCAAGGATCGAACCCAGTAGCTCACCTTTGCTAGGGAAGCACTCTATCACTGAACTATAATCCAAGCCCTCCCCTTCTGTTTTGACTAAGAATAAGTAAGAATTGACTGGTCCTTAGAAGCCCAAACCAGACTTGCATAGTTGTGGTTTAAGGATGGCCATGTGAAAGAGATACCATGATGCTTAAGTCACTGTACTTGAAGCTGCCTGGCTTCCTGATGGTTTTCTAGTTTAGTCTAGTTTTGTTTTGTTTTCCAGTCTGGTTAAGTGAAAATTCTTACAATTTCTTTATTTTCCTTAAGATGACCTGAGTTTCTCTTCCTTGGAACTAGGAGCCAAACTCTAATTTCTCTATTATAATCATCAGGAATACCTGATCAGTGAGATTCTTCCTGATATTTTCCTGAGACTGAAGGGGCTTTTTGTTGTTGATTGTTTGTTATTGTTTGTTTTTAATTTTCAGACAGGATCTGACAAGGTTGGTCTCCCACTTGTGACCCTCCTGCTTCAGCCGTCCAAGTCACTGTAATTACAGGCATGAACCATGTGACTCTGAGATTGAAATTTTATCTATCTTCAGCACCAGTATCATCCACTTGATTTGACTTAACAAGTCAAAAACAACTTTAGCTGCAATTCCTTTTCCTTGGCAGAAATGATCTGCCCATGGGCAGAAGAGAGATGCAGGAGTGTGATGGAAGACAACAGTATGAATCAGGGCCACTAAAAATCATGTAGTTTTCCATTTTTTTCTTGGACAATCAATCCTACTCCACATTCCTTCTGTATTTTTTAACACACACACACACACACACACACACGCCCCCAACTACCA